CCCCAAAACCCCAAAACCCCAAAACCCCTCTTAGAATACTAGTCCTGATTTATTATATAATTGGATATATTAAATGTTAATTTATTATTATTTTATAATTATCTATAGGGGCATATATTCACCAAAGTAACTCTAATAGCAGCCACCACTGCACTCGAATCTACTGAAATGCCTTTAATGTACGAGTTTGATAATAGGTACAGGGTACAGAAAAGGACAGCGAGGTCAAGTTATAGTTTAAGGTGCTATTCAGTTTCTTCATTTGCATAAATCTTTTTTAAACTTTATCAAAGGTTCTCAGTTCATATCTTTTACAGTTTCCATGCCAAAGTCCTCTACTTTGCAGTCAGTTAAGGTGGGTTAAATCTGATCCAGATCGGCAATCAAACCAGTTCCACAACCCTCTAGACCAGGTTGAGTGTCATCATTGAAATAAATTTCAAGAAGCAATGAAAAGTCTCCAAGAATGCCTCCTCCACCATTATTTCCTCCAAGCTTTTATTACTCGATCTCTTGCTAGATCACTTGGCTTTGCAGCTATTATTTTTAAGTTTAAATCATTTGGATGTCAGAGTTGTCCATAAATAGTTCCTCCTCGTAAGAGTCAAGATCATCGTTGAAATCAGCAGAAGCTGCTGACTCGTACTTGTCGAAGTTGACTAACTTTTGATTAATGATATGCAAGTCATTGGTAAATTCAACATAATGTATATTATCCTGCTGTTGTTGGTGACAGCTAAACTCAGTTCCCTTTCTGGGAGATTTCTGCAATCCTAGCATCCCCTTAAACATCATCTGCTGCTTTTCAATAAGGTTAATTGGTTTGTGCTGGTCAGTGCAAATAAGACAAAGTGAGTTAGACCTTGCTCTCTGTACTGGCTTTGAAGTTTCACTCTCACACTCATCACAAGCAAAGGTCATTGTTGGCCTTTTTGGGGTTTAGAGAAGCGATGCCCCGATTTTGTCCATGAAACTTACAGCATCAATCTTTAAAGACTTCTAGTCAGAACTGTGAGTAGATTGATTAAGAGGCTTAAAAGTTAAGTCTAAGGTAGGGTCTCTATCTTAGCACTCTTATGTGTATTATACCTCTTGTAATAAATTTTCATAGTCTTTTTCTTGATAACTATTGATCAGATCTTATTAAGACTTATTATTTATTATTTTTAGTCGTTAGCCTAGAAGACTTATTGGCATTAGGTCTTAGGACAGGGTGCTTTGAATTTTGAAGCTTTTAAATCTGATCATTTAGTGGATATCGAGAGACTGATTTAATAGTTTGTCTTAATTTTTAATTATTCTTATTTTGTGTTTTTAAATTCGCTAGCACTATTTGCACTGAGATCCTTATATTTCCTGGTTGGCATTCAGACATAACTCTGAAAAAGGAATCGCCTTTTTGTACCCATTTTGGTCTCTGCCAGTCTCAGTAAACGAATGAGAGCGTTCCTTCATCTTGTTCCATGAGAACTGAGACAAAAGTGTGTCTTTTTTGCTCTCTCCTTGCTCTTTATTGTCCCTAGTGTTGCGACCCATTCGGGAGCAGATGGATCTTTTTGTCTTGTCTACATAAATATGATGAATTTCGGGTCATAAATACTTACAAACTTTACTAGAGATGTAGCCTTGAGGCTGCTGATTAGATTTTTTAATGTAGTTGTAGGTGAGGCCCTCGAAGAAGGAAAATCCGCCTGATGCCTCGTTGTGTCCGCACATGAAGTTACCCATTTTAATTGTAGAAAGAGATTATACAGCTAATAAATATAATACTTTAAATATATCAACATTCGGACCCGACTATAATCAAGCTTTTTAGATCATCAATTTAGCGTCAAACTCTATAATATTTCCAAGTTTAGACTTCTTAATCCTTCGAAAATTTGAATCTTGGGGTTTTGGGGTTTTGGGGTTTTGGGGTTTTGGGG